AGATAGATAGATAGATAGATAGATAGATAGATAGATAGATAGATAGATAGATAGATATTTTTAAATGAGGCTAATAGAATTTTGTATTTCATTTATATATTTAATCAAATATAGATGTGAATAGACAGCATCGGAACATGTATAGAGAGAAATCTTAGCTTTAGCAGGGGCAAACTGAACATTCCCACTGAGATTGTACGATGTGGAATATGAGATGCTGAGTTCAGCTGGAGCCGAGTTCATGTGTGCTTAACACATCTGTCACAAGGCAGAGGGTTCAACAGTGCAAAACAGGGGTGAGGAGGGCATAAATGAGATGAAGGTCAAATGTGTAACTGTACTACCCATAACTACTCAAATCCATTCATGCACACAGCAGTTCACATGTTGTGAAATGACAAGGCGTTATAGCTTAAACTGGTACCTCATGGTGTACAGCAATGTCCCATCATCCTTCAGTCTCAGAAGCTTGTTGGGCGTTGTCATGTTGTGAGCAATGGATTTTTTGCCATTAAGGAAAAAGGTGTCTGGTGTCCAGATATTACTGGCCAGCAGGTTATTCAGAGGTAGCATCTCCATCGGCCCCTTGAAACACAAACGTTCATCCTTCCAGCTTTGACGGAAAAACACATCAATGGTGTATTCCTGTTGAAAGAAAAACGTTAATGTCATTAGTGTGTACCTGAAGGAAGGTGAGGGACCCCAGGTCCTGTGATGAGGAGGAGGGGCCCACTGAGGCCTCCCCATAAACTTTTTCTCCAGTGGCCCATCAATACAGCAACGACCTTGCCTGAAGGCAGAATCAAATGTGTCACATGACTGAATATAAAAATAAACAATAGTATCATTCATCAGATCGCACTGTGACCTGCCTAAGATATTGCATGCAGAATATAAGGGAATGTTGCAGAGGTGAAGTAATGTCACAGATGGAGGCAGGGTTTAATGAAGGCGGTCTTGATGAAGAGACATCTCAGGTGGTAATTTGTAGCGGTCAATGAATGGTGGTTGTTCATGAAGAAAGATATGGTTGAAACACTTACCATCTCAGTATCTGACACTGGTCCAAAGCTGGTCACAAAGATGTTGGTTTTTATTTCTGTCACTTTCTCTGTAAAATCAAAAACAAATTGCGATTTTTTTTAGATCAAGTTCAATTTTGGCCATTGCATACATAGTTAGATAAATACATAAATACATAGATATACAGTAGTTATTATAGTGAACTAAAACTATAACTGAAACTAAAATTAAAACCATTAAAAAAAACTTTACATTAAACATTAACTGAAATAAAATATAATACAAAAAAAACATTATTTCAACTAGTTGCCAAGGTAACATTTTTAATTTTAATTTAGTTTAACTTTATATACTAAAATAACTAAAACTGAAATAAAAACTATAGACATATATAAAAAACAAAATTTAGTAATTACACCATAAATGCATATAATTCAAGTCTACTGTTTCACAGTCAACAGTCAACACATGGCTTATTGGCTAGATTTAAAACAAGGAAAAGTGCACTTTTAGATAAACAAGGCAATAATAGATGGCACTCGTGGTGGTAGTAAAGATATATTTAATTGAGTTTAAACGTGAATATGTCTATGAAAGATTGTATTACTGTACTGTGATAAAAGAGAATCACAATGCTGAAAAAGCATTTTCAGAAACAACGTTTGGATTTGAAGTCAAAATAATGGATAAATGTTGTGTTTGTGGTAAACAGCTGTGGATCAGGAGCGGATTGTCCTGTGCGAAAGCAAAATGAGTCTCGCGATAGGTTTTTTTTGTCCATATCGCACAGCCCTAATATATGTGCAGAATTTCCATTATATATATATATATATATATATAAAATAAATATATATTGTGTAAATATAATATATAAATATACAGAATTTCCACTGAAGTATGCTTTGATTCAGCCATATTATTTAGTTGCATTCATTTTTTTAATGAAAAGCAATTAATTTCATCCGCCTGATTGCACTTTCCTTCTCAAGGCACTAAATCAAGTTCAATGCCATCATTTGTCAATTGACCACGTTGCTGCTGCTACAGTTATGAGATGTGCTCCCTTGAACTCTCTCACGTGGAAACAGAGCAGCCTGTGTTTATTCTCTTTCTCTGCCATGCTTTCAACCTCTGAGAACAATGAACCTGCACCTTTGAAAAATAACGATAGCTTTCTCAAGGTCAGCAGCCACATTCATATCCCTCTCTCAACCTCTCTCTCTCTACCTCTGTCTCTAGCAAGAACACTGTAATTGAGAGTGCCAGGAAATAGTGGCCGTTTGATTTTCACAGAGGACCAGGCAATTTCAGCGATCACTTCTGCTCGGTGCAAACATCTGCTGTATAAAAACACAGATTTTTTTCCCTTTCTATGTACTTTTCCTTCCAGTTAGTGGATTGAATAGAAGCAGCATCTCTCTCTCTCTTTTTAATGAAAGTCCTTCATGCTGCTGTCACAATGGAATGTGCAGGCGTTCTCTCTGTTTTTCAAAAACCATCCTCCTTTATCTAAACACATCTTTTCAGAATAACTCCCGAAGGTCAATGCCAGACATTAATATACAAAGAAAAAACACTTTTCACTAAAGCACGATTTTGCTACAGATCAGATCATTTAGAGATGGAAATGGTATCTAGGCAGTTTACCTCCAAGCCCAGGTCGCAGTCTGTTATCGTAGCCATCCAGCAATCCATCCAGGATTCGTGTGAAAACTGTGATGTTATCATTGAGCTCTGACTCTTTAGGAATCCCTGTAGTAGTCTGGGAAAAGCTGATTCACAAGACCACAAAGATAATTAATAACTACAAGTATTAACTCTCATCCTCCTTTCAAACATGACCACAATGATAGAGTGGTCTGTAAATTTGAATCAATATGAATTAATTAAAGACATATGATATTTAACATTAATTGACTCCTGCAATGAACTAAAAAAAAAAAGAAAAAAGAAAAAGAAAGTTACACGTTAAACGTGCAATCTACCTCAGATGGCAGGTGAAAGTCATGAACAAAACACCGACCCACAGACTTCTCATTTTAGCGCTGCAATTTGGTCCCATATCCCATACCTGCAAAAGTCCAGGATAGGGAGTTCATTCCAGCACTATGATAATCTGCCCATTCTTCAGGGAAACTGAATGATGCACACTTTAATTTAAAAAGAAAATTTACAGGGAAAGACAAAGTTTTGTGGTGCTTACAAAAAGCATAAAATAGGATGATCAGTAAACAAAAACAAACAAACAAAAATCATCAAAGCAATTAAGCAAAAGTGTTAACCAAATACGTTTTCATTATTATTGATGCAATTACAATGCTGTCTTTATTTTATTTGAATTATAATGTTATTTAATCATTTGCTAATTAAAGTAATCATTCATTTTTACGCAATTCCAATGTCAAGAATCCGTTCTCTGTTTTGTGCATGTCCCCTGAACGCCAGTTTACAACATTTCCTTCAACGTGATCGTTTGTCAAAGCTGTAGGAGCGCTGAGTTTGCAGCAGCTGTAATTCATAGTTTTAACAGCCTCTGGCGTATAAACTTGTCGAACATTTGTAGCGAGTCCTTCAAAGCAGAGTTGAGCAGAGATAGTGTACAGTAAAAGCCTCGTATCTCACCTTAAATTCCTGAATGGTGCAGTGGATCCACGTTGAACAGCTGCAATGAATTCCTTTTGAAGCAGTGAGCAAAATCCCGCAACGTTCAGCTTACAGCTTTCAGCAGTAGTGTGATGCGTTGTTCTTCAGATATATCCAGTCTTAACCATACAGGCTCATTCTGCCGTACTCTCTTACGATTCAGTGACTGAAGAACCGCTGCAGAGCATCCCTTCCTTTCTTCCGCATCCCAAAGACCTCTTCATCACTCCTAAATCCAATTGAACGACAGTAACCAGACAGCACAACAGCCCTTAAAACAGTCTTTGTTTTCTCTCTCCCCCTATTCCCCCTCCAGTCAACACATCCCCTTTAACAGACCATTACTTTTTCCCCCTTCTTCCCTCAGAGGTAGTGTACGACATCTCAACGCTCATCTGCGCAACCGTTCAAGCGTTACAGAGTTTAACAGGGTTCTCCGTTTACCGGGTCGCCGGATTGGATCTCCCCACTCTATAGCCCGACTGTCACTCTAGTGGAATTTTTTGTTCATGTTTGGGACCAAAGTAATAGGACGTCACCTCTACGCGCGCTGCATAATTACCCCCCGAGGGAAATTTGAGCGGCCATTGGGGTTTGAAACTTATCTTGTTTGAGTTTATTCAGAGAAAAGCGCGATTACCCCGGCGCCGGCGTGCGTTACGAGCGCGGAAGCTAGAAAATGAGCGGATTTCCCAACAATTCAGCTTACTAGGCGTTTTTGTGCGCGAGCCTTTACCCCTAGGCAGCCCCCCCGCGCCAGGCTGGCTTCCTCTACACGCGGACTATTATATCTCCAATGGGGATATTTATGGTTTAAAAGTATCCGTTTTAGCCTACTCAATTAAAACGGGTTGTAAATGAGAGAATCGTCCTGAGGATAAATTAAAGCATGTGTGAATCTTAGCTATAAGTAATCAAGGTATCAGTCAAAGATAAATAATATTGATTTGATAGGACTAGATTCAAAAATGGTTTGCGAGAGCAGAGTTGATCATTGTTTTATAAAAGGCACAAGTAGTAATGAGGACAGCCATCAGAGGGAACTCTAATCCCACTTTTTTCTGATGCTGACTATTACTGCAGTGCTTCAGTCTATAAATGAAAACCTTAAAAAGCTCTACCTGCTCCAGTTTCATGTTGTTCATAAGTGAAAATAACTTATTGAACTAGTTTCTTTTATAAATGACACCCTATTGCTGATTTGGGCTGACAGGACATCTGGGAAATGTCTTAAATGTCCTACACATCATTAAAAAAAATGTGGCACAGCATTGTTCTAGAGATTATGCAAAATCCTAATCCAAAAGTATTCATATTATAACTTTAAAAACAAGCATGTGTATTAAAGAATCCCAAAACACACTCGCTATGGGTATCTAGAGTAAAGTAATGCATGTTGAAGACGTAACATTGATTTACAGCAAGAGAACCGAAGAGTCTTTGATTCAAGCGAGTAAATTAAACATCTGCTTTGGGTTGGCTTTAATGGTCACAGTGCTATTGGGGGGGGGGGGGGCCGGTTTCGGTTGGGG